GGCAGCCTGCTCCTCTGTCTCTAGCAGCTTCCGGGTCACCTGCAGCCTCTGCATCTGGTACTCAGGGCTCCAGGGTACCGCCGTGGGGACAAAGGCCATGTCCTCAGCCCAGACCCAGTTCTCCAGTCCTGTGGGTGGGAGGGGGGGGGTAGAGGGAGGAAGAGTGGAAGTGAGGGTTGGTCATGCAGCTGCCCTGCCCCTACCTGACTTCAGAGGTGGGGGTCAAAGAGAAGCCTAGAACTCAGTGTACCCCTTACTTACCTTCCCTGTCTCCAAAGATATCCCCAAATCTTTCAGCCAAAGCTGTTGACCTATAAAATATTTCATACCAACACGGGCCAGTGAAGCGACGTCCTCCACAACTAGACCGAAGAACAAAAGGACAGCAACTTGTCTGTTCCCCTTCCCCGATTCCCCAACGCTGTTCCCTCCCCCAATTCCCCCAAAATATAAAATAAATAAATAAATAAAATAAAATATTTCATCAAGGATTTCATTCATTCATTCATTCACTCATTAGTGGCGAGAGAGGAGCACATTTAAGATTCAAGGTTATAGGAATAGAGGTGCAGGCAGGAAAAGGGGGCCTTCCTGGGCAACTTTTCCTCCTGGCATTAGAGGATGTTACCAGTAGAGATGACATAGTAGGGCATTCTAGGCAGGGCAAAATATGGGCAAAAGCAAAGAAGCCTGACTGTAATGTGTGGAGTGTGCGTGTGTGTCCAGGGACAGGGTGGGTTTCGGTGTGACTAAAGCAGCACACAGAGAAGAATCTGAAAGGCCAGGTGGGAAGGGCCTTGTAGGCTCTTCTGCAGGTGCGATCCTACAGGCGATGGGGAAGGTGGGAGCAGCATGAGGGAGCAGGCTGGCGTGGGCGTAGGGGCCTCTGGTCACAGAGTGGACCCTGGACCTGAGAGGAAGAAGCGTGGAAATGGCAGAGAGAGATGGCACCTACAGGAGGATGGCAAGAGGGGCCAGACGAGGTGTTTGAGACACTTCAGAAGGAAAACAGAAAAAAATCTGATCAGCTCAACGTGGGGAAGGAAAGTGAAACGACAGACTCCAAGACGTCATGTTTCCCTGGCTCTCTCTGTGACCACCAGGAACTATCTGGAATGTTCCACAGTATCCATTCTAACACTCACACTCAAGTGTAGCGTGCCCAGAGAGAGATGGAAAATTCGGGAGGAGGAGGGTTCAGCTCCCAAGGAAATGTCCAACCCAGGGTGTTCCATGACTGGCCTACATGTGCCAGTGACTTGGCAGAACACAACCAGATCCTCCAGAACGCGGGCACCACAGCCCAGACGAAGAGAAACAAACTGGAAAACAAACGGCTGCCTCTCTGAAATGGGGCCCATATACGTGCAAGGAAGGGAAGAGGGCAAAAGGGACCCTGATAGCCCAGGTCCTGCCTCCTCCCTGAGCTTTGCCATTTCCCAAGATTTCCTGATGAGGTCATGTGGAGGGGGCCTGGGGGGGGGGCAGCTGTGCACCCAGCCAATGAGCTAAATACAGTCAGATTCCAACTCCCTCCCATCCAGCGAAAGAAGAAGCATGAAGCTCCAAAAGCGCACGCTCAAATTCTCAAATCTTCCTTTCCTGTATAACCACCATAGACCCAAGACAAATAGAGACAACTCGTCAGCCGCTCTTCCGGAATTTTTGCCCCACGGGGATGTCTTACCTCCTACATCCAGGTCCACCTTGAAGTGAGCGCTGTGGGTGTGGGCGGTGCCCAGCGTGTGCTGCCCAACCTGGTTCCCATACC